AACTGATAACAAGCATGAAACAGAGTTTAATATTGTTTTACGACAGACGGTATAATTGTTGTTAAGCCATTCAAACGCATACGATCACAAGTGAACTAGAATTTGAACGCATTTCTTGTAGTGTATCTGAATATCCTAACAACATGTCATCTGGTTCTACTTATCTGCTCAGTAAAAGATTTCTTGTGTCCCCTGTAACTTGACTAACATGAAAATATTTATTCATTCTGTGACCAGTGCTTTTCACGATGCTATATACTACTGGTTGGTTTGGTTGAGTAGTTGTGTGCCACTCACACTAACCAGTGGTGCTTACTGACCTGCCATATCGAAGTAGTCCAAACACCGGGCCGCCGTATCTCTCGTTTTAGGCCGAACTAATCAGTGGTATACCCAGTTTGACCTAATTCAGAGAGCCAAATCAATTCAAACCATTCGATTTCTGGCTAGCTACTTGGGTGAATTCGCCATTTCCAAATTAATCCAGCAGGTGTTTAGATCACTTCTATCTGTCTGGTCATCAAGCACAACTGGTTGATGTGAGTGGTATTCAACTAACCATCTCAATCAATCAGGGGTACACAGTTTTATGCAAGTTTACTTGCTTTCTTGATTACCATTTATGGTGTCAAGCAGATCCAATATTTATCGAATACTTGACTTCCAAAGGAAGCTACTTTGGTGAAATCTCACTATCGGAACTGTATAAATTACAAATTAGATTTAATACTACTATTCATGCATTTCAGTAGTAAGTGATATTCTCTATTTTTATTACATAGCTACGGGTTGACTACAAGTGTGAATTTCAATCTGAATTATACTATACAAAAGAAAGTCGATATAAATCTTTTAAACCGAATTATATGAAATTCACATTACTGACTGTTAAAAGAGGTACATCAGGACAAAAAATAATTCAATTTTTCCACCGGATAAACGAATGCAGTGTAAATATAATATTAATAACTTCTGAGAACGATTCTTAATTCATGTCGTGGTTTCCTCTTGATTATCAAACAGTAGCTATTCTTTGATTGGACACTAGTCACTAACTAGTGTAATGTGTATGTCTAGTCCTATCTTTGGTGCAGACTGAATTCTATCAGTCAAGTTTGCAATGTGGCCACCATGCTAGGTAGCTCGCCATCACGGTGCACTATGAATTGTTGGTATTAGACGGTTGGGGGCAATCAGTAGGAAGCCTTCGACCTAGGTTTCGTGCGAGTTGGCACTCATCAGTCAGCAAGGCATATCTGCAACCTTGAAGAAACCCATATCCCTTCTGAGATTCAAACCCGCGTCACCCGAGCGGGGCTGCAGTCAGAGATGTTACCATTGAGCTTTCCAGACTCGCGATTGACCTGGATGACGCGGGTTTGAATCTCAGAAGGGATATGGGTTCCTTCAAGGTTGCAGATACGCCTTTCTAATGACCGCCAACTCGCACGAAACTTGGGTCGAAGGCTTCCTACCGATTGCCTCCAACCGTCTATTACCAGTAGTTATTCTTTGCTAGATTTGGACCTTTTTTGTGCGTATTTTTTAGCTGACTACTATATTATGTAATGGTTGAAGTTGATATACAAATCTTGGTCCCAACTGCCTCTAAACTGCTAGTCCAGCTTCTCTACCAACTGTGAACAACAAGACCCAGTTACTGACCAAATCATCATTTTCACTGTAATCGACTAAGGTTTGCTAAAACTTTACAACAAGCTGTCACCTTAATTCTATGTAACTCAGTCACTGAATTTTAATTCTCTCTTCTTTTATTTTGACCAGCACTGCTGTTCACATAAAATGCAACATCGAACAGTCATTTTTGTTTTGATCGTGTCAAATATAAAGTTGAATATATTTTAATAGCCTAGTCCTATCTCATATAAGATTAATGTAAATTGTTTTTTATGCGTGTTTATATTTTATTGTGGAAATTGAATAATATTTCATTTCACATTGACATGGGATCAGAGAATTGGTCAATTCATCATCATCGCAATTGTGGCACTTTGTTTTCCCTTTTTTGAAGAGTAAACATTTATAAATTTCCAGCATGTATCATTTCCCATGTATCTTACTTATCAGAGTCTGTTAACTATTACTATCGTGTAATTCATTCTCAGTTTCTTGTCTTAAATGCTCCTTTTGTGTTCAATATCCCTCTATCCCTATGAATGCGAAATTCGTCTACATTCGTATTTGTTTTTACAAATCTCTCTAATTACTGCCGCCTTGTCTTTTAATTGTGTATATGTAATCGTTGAACACGTTAAAAACTCTGCATACACATACATACATACATGCATGCACACACACACACCAGTAGTACTAGTTTCTTTGTCGTCGGGTGTAGAATTAACAGAGATAAAAGTTGTGAAATTGCTTCTTTGTTCTACCTTATTTCTCTCATTAGTATTGTAATTCAATGCCTATTCTCTTTGCTTGGTTTATTTGTTTGTTTTACACGGTGACACAGGTGTGAAAGGTTTATTGTTTTAGATTCATGAATTGTTATGGTTACTATTATTATTATTATTATTATTATTAGTAGTAGTAGTAGTAGTAGTATTTGCATTATTGGACAAAATAAGGTGTAAAGTTGAATTGTTTTAGATAGGGGCATCTGGTGTGTACTTCTAAGAGGAACATCAATGCTCCTGTGTTTGCGATTTTCCTACTACCGGAGAACAGATTTTATTTGTCTTGTTTGCCTGTCACATAATCCATATGTTTTATAATGATGTACGTCGGTGGCACAGTGGTTAGGACTCTCACCGACCATGCACATGGTCGATCCCCCGCCGACGCACACCTGATATCTATGGTCGGCCTGCTAAATTTGGGCTACCGATATCACATGCTGAAAATTTGATACTTGTACCAAAGTACTGTGTGGAATAAAGCTATGATAAAATAAAATAAAAAATAACAATCAAGCATTCAGCTGTGTGGCATGTGGTGACTAGCCCTGGAATTCAGGCTTCACATGTCGCCTTATTTCAGACTCCTCAGTTGGATGTGCCTGAAATCCTCGGTGAGTGACGATTTTTCTACTCACACGTTCTGAGGACTCATCAGATATATTCATCTGATGACTTGCTACAGGATGGAGCTTCCTGGAGTTCTATTGAGAAGTCGTGACCAGTGAGGTCCAATTAGATGTCACGTGTGTGGATGGATGTCCCACCAACGACAATGGTTGGGGTCGCGCTAAATCACGAATCGGCAGAAGTTAGAATTCATGGACTGGTCATTGAATCGGGTCCCAGTGGCTGAATGGTATACGAGCTTGCCTTGTAACCGGAAGGTCCTGGGTTCGAACCCCTGTGGTGGGTGCGTACTGCCAATGATTCTCAAACTAGGATGAAACAGCAGCTGTCCAGTGCTCCCTGGTTTTCAATGGTTCTCTGACTGATATCAGTCCGTGATCAACTCGTAAAACACAACTAATCCATACAAACCAAACTATAGAAAATTCTAGATTCCATTGCTAGTCACTATCCTCTAGAAAACATCATATAATCTTTGGATAACCGTCGAAGCGTCCGTACTAGGAGCTGACAGGTCAACAGACAACGAAAATTTTGGATCATTCATAAAGAAAATGCAAAAATTAGCTTAGAAATACAAGGCATTCATTCTTCCATCCAAACATGATCTACAAATTTTAGTTTCACGATCAATTGATATCTTTGCGTATATACTACTTGTAAGTAGTAAAATATTTAGAGCAAAATTATTTTGTTTATACAGAATTATTATTGCTGGTCATTCAGACCTTAAAATTTAAGCTGCTTTTTTTATGTGAGAGGGAAATTAGTTCGCTTGGCTGCCCTTAATCCTTTCCTTTTCTCCGTATTCTGTATCTCTTGGAAATTGTATACGGTCATTTTGAACCCTCCTGACGAATTATATCTGTTCTTTCATGATTGAACACTAAGACGTATTCAGCACAGGAATATATCTTGCTAACCACTTTATAATCGAATTGTCCCATGCGATCAATCAATACGTGAGCAGGAAGAAAGAGAGAAGGTAGGGAGCATTAGGATGAGTTGGGAGAAAAAAGTCGACATTTACTGAAGGGAAGAGGTGATTAGTGGATTAAGTGCTGTCAAAAAATATATATAAAGTGGAGTGATGAAACTAACAGGAAAGAGCATTACCAGAACTAAGGCGAAAAGAATATGCTTTTGAAAACATCTTTGAACACAGAATTTTTTCCATGTGTAGTTAGTGTTTAATTTATGCGTAAGTAGTAAAAATAGGAAGCTTTTAATTGGCTAAATTTAAATCTAGAAGACAAGAGGATTGAGGGACAAAATATTTAAATTTCAATTAGATCCTCATCTATGCATCTAACCTAATATACGTGTATATAAATAGTTCCTTAGGAGCGTATGGTATGACAGGTGCACATAAAGATGGATCTAACCAGCAGACTGTCCTCCTTGGCTTTAACTGATATCGTCTAACTTTTTAATTGGAAGACACACTTCAGTAGTAAGAAATGAAACTTTCCGTCCAGTAGAAACAAAGAATAGAAAATTCAAAAGTTTCGATAATTGGCAACCGGAACATTTTGCACAGGAACTGGTTCTTGTAGTACAGAGCAGTCTATTAAGAATGCTTTGGAGTTTGTAACTATGAGTGTTTGGTTAGTGTTTTTGTAGGAACATTTTCACACTGAGATGCAGGATCATCGAAAAGTCTTAATTAGGGCAAAACACGCCTCCTGGATTCTACTGTTAGTCTCAGACAAAGTTGAAACAGCAGTCCAGGGCTATTTGGTTTTCGGTGATTCTGTGTTTGATTTATTCTTCCACAGTATTCAGCTATACACGCAGACCAACATGTTCATCGCTAGATAAATTTCAGTTGTGATTAAAACAAGATATCACTGTTCATTGTACTAATATTCTGTCATAAAACTTTACTTATTTAGTCTATGCTTACATGCTTATGTGCTTGCATCTTCATCTGTGTCACTTTTATAGGTAACATTAAGTAGTGCACAACGTGGTGAAATAGAACTATGGCTAACTTCTCCAGCTGGAACAGTTTCTCAATTATTAAGTAAACGACCAAAAGATATAGATGTTGCTGGATTTCATGCATGGCCATTTATGTCTGTGCATTATTGGGGGGAATTGGCCAATGGAACTTGGAAACTAACGGTGAAATCTGGAAATGCTGTTGGTAAGTCTAATTTAGTCACTTCTCTAACCTATTATACTTATTTCATAATCATGATGTATCAATATGCTTACCTAATAGATCTCCACCTTCTACACATTTAGAAAAAAAATTGAGCAGAGAGTATCCTTTTTGATATATATATATAAATATTCTAGAATAACCGTCACTAACAATATTGGTGCTTTTTAAATACCATCGATTTGTTTGGTAAGATCAAAGGAATTACAATTCGAGAAAGACGCTTAAGTTATAATAAGCATAAAAATGTAATAACGAAAAGAATATCAAATAAAATTAAGGAAGTTTCCACAATAAATTGAGGATCATTAAAACCTTGATGGCCAAGGTAAGGACAGTGTCTGAACCAAACAACTTCTTTTGGATACATAAGTTAGGTTTCTTAATGTAGATCCCAGCAATATGTAGTAGACGAACTCTTAAGGTAAAATCGACATTCGTTGGTATGCGGTAGATGACTTTGAAAGCCTCGTTAACACCAATCTTGTGGTGTCTAGTGCTATGAATGGATTTTGTTTGTCCTTTACTTAACCAACCACGCAGGGTGATGTTCAGAAATCCGATGAGAAACACACATTTGTCTTTATCGACTCTTCAGTATTGCCTCTCATATGCTACTTATGACCAGTTTCGAAAACTAATTGCACCCCGCTCCACATGGTGTTAATTTTTATTAGTGTAAATTTCTATCATTTAAACAGTTGTTTGATAACATGGCGATGTCTCAGTAAAGTGCCATCATTGAGCATACGTTTGATTGAGAGGATGAGTTTTTCTTAAAAGTCAAGTAGGCGGTATATCGGTAAACCGACCAGATAGTATTTGTCTAAGGACTTCTCCCAGCAGATGGGTTATGAATTAAGAAACTGTGCTTGTTTACCTGCAATACTTTGACACATTTGAATGATGCCCCCAAATTGCATAGAAATACAGAAGTCAAGATTAACTCCTCTGAGTAAGACAAATAATATAGGACCAGTAAACGCCAAGTTTAATATTGTACAATTAGTATTATATTATTATTCCCTTGGGTTCCGTGTGGAACATAGGGCTTCAACAACACATCTCCATTTTCTTCTATTTTCTGCCGTCCTCTTCAGCTGGTTCCACGATTGATCATAATCTCTCATCTCCTCTTCGCACGATCTCCTTCACGACATCCTAGGACGACCCACTTGTCGTTTCCCATTCGGGTCCCAGTCGAGCAATGGCTTATCGCGCGATGTCATTCGACGGCCTTGTAAAATTATAGTGGTTAACAATAGATTCACAAACTATATGAGTATCACCCCTTGGCCAGATTCAGGACGAATGTTTAGTCTACAAGTAGAAAAGATGTAAAGAAGAGAATTTATTCACTGTGATAGAGCCTAATTCCATCGTAGAATAATTTTATATGATGAAAAGACACAGTAATAAAGTAGTAATGACTGAAGAGTGTTTCTAGCACGATTTATTACTCATAATCATATTACCTTCATGTCATTGTAAGCAATAAATTGTGCTGTATAGTACTGTGTATTTTTAACAAGTGATATTATTCTATGATACTACTAGGAAGTATTGTCCGATAATATGAGGCTTCCTGTCCTCCAATAATAACAGTCTGTACTTCTTTTCGCGTAATCTTCTAAATCTCAGTTACCTGGTTTTTATGGTAATCTGGAAGGTTAGTTTGTTTTGCAAGCTTAACTCCTTCAAATATTTTTTAAAAATTCTTTTACGTTCCCAGTGGAACATAAGGTTTCAAGCTAGAGCTTTGGAGTTTCCGTAGCAGTGGTGTTTATTTTTACGGGATGGGTTTGCTAGCCTTATGCTCAACCTTTCTCCCTTACCAGTCTTATTACTGGCTTAGTGAGGTAAAGGACTGCATCGGCTGAGGATTGAATCCCGGACCACATGCATGGTTGGCGAGCATTCTACTGCTGTGCCACCGACGCACTCCTTCAAATATAACTACTACTTATCAGGATGCAACATTTATCAACCGCACATAATGACTTGAATCAATGGATAGATCTATAGATCAAGAATATGATAAATATATAACTGTTTGAGAAGGAGAAAAGGAAAATTCACAGAAATTAGATTACAGAGATTCTGACTTGTCTTACGTTTCTTCTTTTATCATAATTGCATAAAGAAGTATTTTAAAATGACAGACGAGATTAACTTTTTTTTCTATTCTTACATGATTTCATCTTCAGTCCTTGTATCTTTCATGGCATTAACAGACATGTTAAGATTCACCTTTTTCTGAGTATTTGTAGTCATTCTATGCCTTTATATGCAAAGGTATTTAAGTTCTGCATTTATTACAGTCTCTATATTTATGAATAACCTAACATATGAGGGTTAGATTACAATTAGAAACTCTCAAGCTGATTGCCACAATAGTTGTCAGTGTAGACTAATCAGAGATATTCCAAAGAGTGTAATTTTTGACTACGATTTACTATTTAAACAAGCTATGTGTATTTCTTTATCCCTTTTAGTATCAATTCATGATTGGAGTCTCATTTTGTATGGAACAAATACTCCCCCACCATCTGTGCCGATTTCTTCGCACAGACGAGGTGTTCGTCAGCTGCCTAGAAATCAAGAACCTAATCTTTCTGTGAAAACACAAAAAACATGGGCAAATTCACAGAAAGATAAATCGCCTCCATCTAAATCTGTACAACAACTTCAACAAAAATCTATACAGCCTTCAAAGCATTTTTCGTTTGATTCGACTGTAAATCCTCCTAGTGAAAATAATTATAATAATCATAATAATAATCTTGATCATTCTGCTTTCAGTTTAACTGAAAATCATAATTCGTATCCATATCCACCATTTTATTATTTAAATAATCAAAATTCTTATCGATATTGGCCTACTTGGAATAATGAATATCAGGGCCTGTCACCCATTCCAGCTCCACCTCCTCCCCCACCCCCACCGCCACCACCACCAGCACCACCTATACCAGCAATTTCTGTCGTCCCATTACCATCTGCATCTTCATCATCATCATCGGCGTCGTTGTCTTCCTCTTTACCACCTTCTGCATCTCATGGATCTCATGACGTATATACACACTACTTCCCTCCATCATCTATCCCCTTTTCTTCAATAGATCATTCTTCTTCAAAAAATGTTTTAGACCAATCGAATCCATCAATTGATTTCGACTTACCACCGCTGGTTGTACAGTCAAATGATTTTACACATTTAGAAGCTTCAAATACACTTGATAGAAATGGATATTCTGAGAAAGAAATTATTTTATCTCATGATCATGAACAATATTCAACTAATCAACAAGAATCAATACAACATCGTAATAATAAAATTATTATTAGTGATAAAAAAGTATCATTTAATTGTGTATCTTGTGTGAGTGTAAATCAACTCTTCATAATAATAATAAGTACTGCTATGGTGGTGGTGTATGTACTTTGTCTATGATGTATACAAAAGTTTAAATCTACTTTTTTTCTTATTCAATATTTCTTTTGAATTAATAAGTGATTTATTATGCATAGTTCAAACAAACAAATAAGTTAGTAATATCTTGATAACATTCATTTAATATTTATTTATTTATTTTGAGTTAAATGATTAATTGTACTATGCATGATTCAATGTGTCAATTGAAGAACATGTTGAACATTGAATTATTTGTTTTAATGATGTGTTATGTAGCTAATATTATTTAAATTACACTACTTGAGAGGATAAAATGAAAACAAAAAAATTGAATAATTTTTGTGCTTTCATCCTGTTTTTTTTAAATGATAGTAATATTGAGGTTTTTCTTTTTCTTCTTTTCTTTTGTGTTTTTGGTTTGATTTATTTATTTTACACTAATATTTTATCTTTTGAATAAATAATGTTTACAACTTGTGTGACTTGTTCAACCTTGATTTGCATTGTTATTATTATTGTGAAAAGTATGACAATTATTCATTTGGCTTTGTTTGAAAAGCATTCCTCTTCACAATAATAATAATAATAATAATAATAATAATAATAATATACACTTATGCTTCTTCATTTTCACATACATTAATGCATTTATCTCATATCTGTGTGTACTTTATCAATGCAATATGAACCAGTTTACTAAAGTGAAGGGAATTACTATTTTGTCCTCTTTCATAACTTTTATAATAATTTCTGCATTATACGCACAACAAACCTGTTGATTTCATTATTCTATTTCTTCTCAGCAAAATACCAAAGAAATAAACACTTGATTGAGTTGAGTTGAAAAAAAAGACAAATACAAACATTTACTTCTCTGCTTTTTTTCTCTCTCTCTCGCACAATCTCGAAGTTATTCAAATATATATATACCCACACTTTTTTGTGTAGGCACCACCTACAATGTTTTTCTTTTCTTTTCAGGTTAAATTGTCTCTTTTTACTGTCTTTATATTTGTCGACAAAAAGTGAAAAAGTTGTCTGTTTTTTTATTTCTATTCATGGTATTACTGCAATATCTTTCCCTTTTTTGATCTTGCATTTTAATTGTGTGTGTGTGGTACACACTCATTTATTTTATTCATTGAACTCAATAGCTCTTTTAACACTTTTCCAAGTTGTCAATGTGAACAAGCATATTTACTACTTTATGCGGTATTATTTGTGCTCATTACCGCCTACGTTTTGTGTGTGTGTGTGCGTGCGTGTTAGTGTATGTGTTTGTTTTGTTTTGCTTGTTGTCTGTGTGACAACTCATCTGCCTATTTATTGATCGTCTTTCTTCTCCTATTTCATAGACATCCCTTTCCTCTGAAAGGTTAAATGAAATTGGTTGATTCTTTTGCAGAGTGATGATCTTAGTCATTACTGTGTATGCACAAATCGTATTCTTTTCACTTCTTTTTTTTTGTTTTCTTCAAATTCTCTGTATGTGTTTGTGTACTGAAAATTTTTTGCTATAATCCTACAATCTTTTTGTGATAACTGGAGAGTATCATTATACAGTTCACATGTACTCACTCGATCGTGTAATATATATGCATATAGTAGAGATTAGGTTTATAAACAACAGATGATAAACAGATAGTGATGTGATCATTATTGTTGATGAAAAGAAACATATGCTATCTGATCGCTTGTTTGCTTCTGGTTTTTTTGTCTTAACTACTAAATAAGATTCTGTTTGTCTTGCTCTACATGACTGTGTTACGTGCATGCAATGAATGCAGTGTGTGTGTGTGTAAATCAGTTCTTCAATATATAATGTATTATGCACAAACTTAAAACTCTACCTCACTTTTATCAATTATTATCTTGGTGTTGATGTTTGTGTTTAATTGTTGTTGCTGGTGTTTCATTAGTGTTGTTGTTGGTTTGTTGTTGGTTTTAAGACTTTGGAATTTAAGAGTTTCTATTCTAATTATCTCCTTATATTCTTGTGTTATTATCAATTAGTAGTATTGTTCATATGATTTATCCGTAATAAAATAATATAATATAATATAATTCAGGTCTGCTTTTATCACCTACTTGATACCTTTAACAAGAGTAGGTTTCCAGGCCGTAGGTGTTACGAACTTCCTGGAATAATTTGAGCGCCGAGTCAGATTGATTCATTATAAATCATTTAAATTAATCCCAGCGTGTTAAGAAAGTTAAAACAAGATTTTTCTGAACGTTTCGCTGTGTAAGCCACAGCTTCTTCAGCAGATTTATTCGGATTTTTATTAATCATCAAAATATATAATCAAAAATTTTTTACATAAATTGAAGTCAGTTTATTTGAAGGTCATTTGTCCATGGACATTTTTACCAATAGAAAAATATGTAAGCAGTCATCACATATAATTGTAATGACTAATGTCAAATTGTTGTTGTGTTCACTCTTGTATGGTTAATTTTGTATAGATTAGTTTTGTATGAGTGTGTGTGTGTGTATGTATGTATGTTATTTGTTATATGGAAAATACGTGAATTCATATGTGATAAACATGACCCTACATGTTTTAAAAGGTTATGGAGGCTCTTTGTAAAAAATTATATTTGTAATATCTCAGCGATATTGAAATGAGTAATTCCAACGTTTCGTTCGGCAATCTGGTCCGAACTTCTTCAGGGAAATTAATCAAAATTAACATAACAGAGGTTTTATATATAAAAGGCACATCTTTTGTTTTTAAGAACCTTGTCCAATCATGATTCATAAACACAAGTATTAACAAGTATAATAAACAAAACCGTATAAGCTGCGATCAAAATTTGACCTCGGACTTACAAATATTGGTCTACCTTTGTTAAACACTTTAAACAGAGTGTGCATGCGTGTGTGTGTAAACAGTTGTAAAACATTTCTTAACGTCTCCATGGGAAGATATAGATAGTCAGGAATTTGGCCAAGTATTATTAATTAGTGATACATATCCATTTTTATGTATTAATCAGGATTTCCTATGCATCAGCTAACATCAAACCTTCATGTTTGAAAGGACAAACAAAAGATGTGCCTTTTATATATAGAAAGTGCGTCGGTGGCACAGTGGTTAGGACTCTCGCCGACCATGCACATGGTCCGGGGTTCGATCCCCTGCCGGCGCACACCCGATATCTATGGTCGGCCTGAATTTGGGCTACCGATATCCATGCTGAAAATTCCATACTTGTACTGAAAATACGGTGTGGAATCAAGCTGTAAATCAAAAATATAAAAAAACCTCTGTTATGTTAATTTTGATTAATTTCCCTGAAGAAGTTCGGACCAGATTGCCGAACGAAACGTTGGAATTACTCATTTCAATATCGCTGAGATTTTACAAATATAATTTTTTACAAATGTCTACTTCTCACTCAGCGCCCAAATATTTTAGAACTATTCGGTCAAATCTTGACGATAGTTCATTTGAGTTATGGAGGCTCATAGAATGTTTATTGATTTTTTCATTTGTCTTGCTTCATAAGAGTTTGCCATATAGGTGATAAGTCTATCCCTTCTTTCCTATTCACTGCATTCGATGTGGTTAAGATGTGCAAGGCTTCAGAAGTCAATCCTTATTTATGTGAATGAAATCCTTATGTCCGCTGTCTATAGCATACATTGCTATAGACGATCTTTTTTCTAGACTTTTTTTAAAATTTGTTTTATAAATCTGATTAAAAAGTATTGTATTCAGTATTCGAGGCATCTTTTTTGTTCATAAATAAATAAATTACTAAGAGTAACATTGAATGCAATTACCTATTAATGAAGTACACAGATCGAAGTAGAATTTTTCATTGGTTCCATCACAGATACATAAAATATTCGGGTAGCAACCTGTAATCCCCTTGCCTTGATAAATAGTCATACGAAGGCTAAACAAAAATGGAGCAGCACATACATATACTACTGATTCACATGACTAATTGAAAAAAACCTCCTGTCAGTCACTCCGATAGCCCAGTTCGATATACACCTAGAATCAAATATTGTAGGAAAACAAATCAATCATTTACCACACAATACATATTGATAATTGCTAAATCATGAATGCCTCAAAAACATCACAAAATACAAATCTCAGCCTACATTAATCCAAACAAAATTTTCCATTATTAATAAATATCCATTCCATAAACATCCCTCCAAAAACCATAAACACCAGATAGTATAACATTAAAAAAAACCTCTAATGAATGGAATAATAAACCAGACACAAACAAAAACAGTTCGAAATAAATTAAAAACTTCACCACAATCATTATCAAAACAAACATCCTATACACTTAGTGAAAAAAAACCGAAAAAACTATTTCCAAATAAATGTCTATGATTCTGCATGCGCCGATGAATGTGTGCGTCAGCGAGAGAGAGAGAATGATTTGGTGACATGTTTCCTCTCTATTCACGAATAACACATTGACTCATTGCATATTGCACAACGTGATCCACTCAGTCATCCACAGAGTCCCAAATATGTCCTCTCACACTGAATTTTTATTACATGTCACGAGTAGGGTCTCCCCACTTCCAAACTTCTCAACACAAACAACACAAAACAACACGCACCCACGCACGCACACAAACACACACACACACACTCAGCCACTCACTCACGCAGGCGCACACACACACACATGCACACACCGACAGACAAGCTGAATTCCAGGGAAACACAGACACACTATCACACGGATAGAGTGTTGTGGAGGGATGCACTCAGACGCATTGATGCAGACACGGAGACATGCATACGGTCGTGAAGGAATCGCACACACACGTGCACATACACACTCATCGAGTCACCCAATCACCCACTCACTCAGTCAGTGACACACACGGAGAATGATGACCACATTTGATGGTGGTATAGTGAATGTGTTAAAATGGTAGGGGAGATAGTGACTGTGCGTGGGGATGTAGGGAGGAGTTGATTTGTCAGACGTCGTTCGTGGTGCGTTGTTTGGCAGAGGATGTTGGAGGATTGTGTGCACAGTGATGTGATGATGAGTTGGTGAGTGTTAGTGGTTGGTATGTTTGCTTTTGTGTTGTGAGGGCTGAAAAGCGGAGTGCGTCGGCCGGGAATCGAACCCGGACCGCCCGCGTGGCAGGCGAGCATTCTACCATTGAACCACCGACGCCCACAAGTCAACCAACCAATCACTAACACACCACTCCGAAATACATCATTCAATCACGAAAATATCACAACAAAACTACATAAACAAACACAAGCATTACAACAACTAACACTGCAGACAATACAACAACCACCACGACGGAAACAAACTAAGAAGAAAATCCACACTGCAACAACACATCAATCAGCCACCATCACATATCATTCATAGCACCCCATTCGGAAAGCTAGACAACACACATATTCTACCCTCACATCATTCATCAACCGGTCGGAGAGTTCTCTCGTCAACATGGTCAAAGTAGGTGGAAACGTGGGTGAAAGCTTGGCTGAAGTGGAGAATAATGGGCAATTTGCTGGTTGAGGTCGTGGGGAGAAATATGTAAGAGTGGGTGACAATGTGGTGAGAATGGGAAGAAGTGGATATTTTATGTTGCATTTCAGCCACTTCTTGCTCACGCCTCATCCGAATAAAATTGACGCATTTCCCAAACTCACCCATGTGCATTCTGCAAACAGACAGTCTCTGTCTCTCTGATGACTTCTGACGAATATTGGTGAGAAGCATAAGCTAAACGATTGCTTGTCAAACTCCACTGATCACAACTCGTGTCAGGCAGCGACGAATGCCTTCGACAATCTCAACTCGCAGGACTCTTTCAGTGGGAGACTAGTTCGTCGAATGTGAGCGTTCGTCACCACCAGTCGGACTCACTGTTTGTGTCTCCCAGCTAGCAATATTTTCGGGTGCATAGATTTACGTGGGACAATGCCTCTAAGCCTGCCACAAACAATCTGCAATGCGCCCGAAATCGTTGCTAGCTGGGATGTATGCATATATTCATGCATGCACGAATGCATGTGTGTGTGTGTGAGTGAGTGAGTGTGTGAGTGTGAGAGTGAGTGAGTTATGGAGAGAGAGAGAGAGAGAGAGAGGGGGGAGAGAGAATGATTTGGTGACATGTTTCCTCTCTATTCACGAATAACACATTGACTCATTGCATATTGCACAACGTGATCCACTCAGTCATCCACAGAGTCCCAAATATGTCCTCTCACACTGAATTTTTAATACATGTCACGAGCAGGGTCTCCCCACTTCCAAACTTCTCAACACAAACAACACGCACGCACACACACACACATGCACACACCGACAGACAAGCTGAATTCCAGGGAAACACAGACACACTGTCACACGGATAGAGTGTTGTGGAGGGATGCACTCAGACGCATTGATGCAGACACGGAGACATGCATACGGTCGTGAAGGAATCGCACACA